TTTTCCTAGCTCATGCTATTTTTTTTGGTCTATTGCTTATTGTATTTGAAATTTTGTTCAAAACTGAATTGTAAAAAATTATTTAAACGGTAATAATACTGTTTTAGTCATAACCATTTTCGTTTGTAAATATAGAGTGATGTACAAAAACTAATAGCGCATATCGTCAAAAATTTTCAATCTCTGGCAAGAAGCACAAACAACTCGTTTGTATATAAGTTATAAAGTTATTTGATCCGATCTTTTTAACGAAAGACAATTAAAATGATAAGCAATTAGCTCATAATTTAATGTAAAATAATTAACAGTAAATTGATGATTATGAAAAATGTGAGATAGGGCGGGTACTTGCACGCATAGTAAAAAACTTAACTGAACATAAGAAACTAGACGAAATTAAATATAATATGTACGTTTTAAAAATAACAATTTGTTGTTTTGCACAAATCATTTATCTCAAGTTAGTATTTGAAGAAACTATACTTTTACAATAAAAGCTTAACTCCACATAGGGGGCGGCTATAAAATTCATATATATAATAAAACAAATTTGTCACTAATTTTTATTTGCAATAAGAACTTATCTCGAGGTAAGTGGTTCGTCAAGAAAACAAAAAAAAAATGCCAATAACTCTGGCTACATCCGTGACTACCCAAAATTTATGAGTATATAAACACAAAACGGAGAATTTGCTGCTATACGTACATATCTCATTTTTGTCTTACCTTAAGTTAGGCCGTTTTGTGTTTATGGCCAATGATATTTTGACAATTCCTTTTTCTAAAAATTTTCCCGGAACATTCCACTTTTAGAACTCTTTACGACATATTTTTATTAACGACCTTTGATTGCTATCAAAGCATGTTTTGAAGGAGCTATTTTCGACTGAATCTAAATCTTTTAATTCGAAAATTTTTTCAATTTCTCCAATTTTTTCAGACATTTATGCTCCTAATTTGACAAAAGGAAATTAAATTTCATTTTATTTTTTCCTTACAACTTGTTTCATCATCTTTTAAAAGAAAACTCAAGAATGAACACTTTGTTGGTTTGTGCAGTAATTCCCGTAAAATTATTTCATTTGAATTTTTGTGGTTTAAAATTGTTTGTATATTTAAAATCTCGTATTTTGAGTCTTCATTTTAACCAAATATAACAGTTTTTGTTTTCATAAAATTAGACCCCATTAATAGTCATTGAATAAAGCATATTATTGAGGTATGTTATAAGTTCAATAGAACAATTAATTAAAAGATTTTAAAAGAATAAAATATTCCAGAATCATTTGAGTTCTTCTTGCTTGTTATTACAAAAATTATTACAAAATAAGAGCAATGCATGTTCCAATTTAATCATGCAATCAGCTGATACATAATTGTACATATGACGTAAATGACGTAATAAATTAACTACCTTATTATAATTCTCATTAATATTATATTTAAATTTAAAGAAAAATTTTTTTTTTTTAAAAACAGCTTATCGTGTACAAATCAATCGTCTTGAAATTAACGCCATTTTTTAATGTTAATTAAAATTTTTAGTTGATTTCCTATGCGCGAACAATTTTTTATTTCACTTGTCATACCGTATACATAATCATCTGAATATATAACATGCAACAAGTTAAAATTTATATCTATTTATATCTACGTATGTATGTAGATATAAATAGATGGCAGTGAACGTAATAAATGAAAAGACGGCGACTGAATTCTAAAATCCAAAAAAAAAAAAATATGCAAACGTTTATTGTTTGTGCATGTGTAACATTTTGAATTTATTGTTATTTTGACCTAAATTTAATTTTTTTTTTACTTTTATTTTCTAAAATTTTAATTAAATTTAATTTAAACATTTAATTGTGTGGTAAGAATGTAAGGCGTACATATTTTACATCCTTTATATAGTAAAAGTTTTTGTTCTTTAAATTCTAACTAAACAAAAATTGTATTTTCAAAATGCTAGTTTGTAAATTTGAAAGTTAAACTGTAATAATTGCTTTTAAGAACTTTTCCAAAAAAAAAAATTGAAAAAATTTGCTTATTTGTTTCACTCTGTTCGTCCGTCCATCTGTCCGTGTGTCTGTTTCATTCTGTTCGTTCGTTTGTCCGTCCATTTGTCCGTGTGTCTGTTTACAAAACTGCTACACCCTTTGAGATTGAAAAGCTGAAAATATATGCACAAATAGATCTTTTATGAAATTTATTTTTGTAGAAGAAAATTTTTATATATTCCGCCCCCTCTGAAAGTCATAGCTACTCAAAGTCCTAAAAGTGCCATTTTTTGATTATTTATTGTACCCAGAATCAAAGTTAGAGACGCGCTTCTTCTCCGCTGAACAGCATAATTCAATATTAAAAATACAACAATGGCCGTCAAAATTAACCTTTACCCAAAACCCTCTTTCTCCAATTTTTAATATCATGTTTTTCTAGACGGCAATTTGTAGCATTTTGAAATTTTAATAGCTTTTAGACACTAATAAATAATTTGTTTCGTTAGAAGAAAATTTTTTCCCATCTCCACTTCCTCCAAGGTTATCGTACTCTTGAAATTCGTAAAATTTCAATTTGCGGTTTCTTATATTTCCGAAGCTATAAGTTTTTGCAAATTTCTATAAAAAGAAAAAGTTAAAGGCAAATTTCATGCCATCAAAAAGTATAATCTGATTAAGTTGAAAATCTATCAAAAAAAAAATTTTTTTTAAATTTTTAATGTCGTATAAGGAATAATATCGCGAGCTGAATAAATATGGTCCAAATTTATAACATGTCACAACTTGAAATGTCGTATTAGAAGATTTAGTATCTCGAGGTCTTAATGTATAATTTTAAAAATTTCTTAATTTTTATCTATCTCGCCCTATCTTTTTATTTATCTTTAATCTTAACTTGCTGTTAACTGTCCAATTCTAACCTCATATTAAGCACTTCTTAAATTTTCTTTTTTTGTTTTTCACTTGTTCAACGGAAAATTGCTTATTTACCAACCATTGATTTGATCCAATATTCTTTGGCCCATAATGTTATGAAATAAACGAATTGAATTTATTGTTTTTATAATTGTTTTAAAATTCATTCTAAGCCATAATGAGATTATATTTCGGTGTTGAGTGTAAGCGACCATGACGATTATTAAAAATAATATTAGAAAATATCTGTTTTACAACATTGATTGACTGTATAAGAACAAAAGGAAAAATTTTCTAAAATAAATTATGTAGATATAAAATAATTTTATTATATTCAGCGCCGGATTCAGAAATACTGGCACATTAATATCAAAAGATACAAACTATTGCCTCCAAACCACTATGTACACACATTGTCGAACTACAGTAAAAATAAAAACGAAGCTGTAATTATCTTCTTATTCCCTAACACCTGAAATAAATTAATTACCAATACGATTTAAACTAGCTTTACTTATCTCAGTGTAAATCTTTCATATTCACAGTGTAAATCTCTAAACTATCCCCTAAATTTATGCAATATTATGTTGTAATGGAAATTACTTCAATAATGTAGTTTATTTGTATCCCTTAGACTTAGATCTGTATGCACGTAAATATAAGCTTTTCACTTAAAATACTATAGAGAAGAAAATGCTATTTTACAACCATTTGTAAGACCGATTACACTTTTTCAAACCAATATTCTTTGATATAGTTTTTGTCTCATCTTTTGAGGAAATAGAAGATTCCTAAAGAATCCTTAATTAATTTTAAATTTTTCATTTTAAAGAGTCAGTAAGTACCGAAAATTTACATTTGACATGGCACTGTATACATATAATCGTCCATTGTAAATAATCTGTTAGCCTATTCCTCCTTATATAAGAAATCCGGCTCTCATATTACATATATAGACTTATATCTTATAAAGGTGGTTATTACATTTGAAAATATCAAATCAGGTGAGATCTAATAAAGTATTTGCTTGTTACATGCAACAGTAAAAAAAATTTTTTAGCCGCGATTTTATGTAACGATGTCTTTTAATAAACTTGTCATTGAAATAGAAAACATAATATTAAAAAATTAATTGACATTTACGTGCTGTGACAAAATATTTACATTATATTTAAAGTAATGACTATAACCATTCCTTTTCCATATAAGTATGATCTCAAGTGAGTATTATAGAAAATTATTTAATTTATTTAATCATTAAAATTCAATAACAATAATGTTCAGCAGATAGAAAACATTTTTGTTTTTTTTTTGTTTTGGAATTTAAATGCATTTTTCTATTTATACCCGTACGAATGTATTTTATTCTAAATTTGCCTTACCGTTTGTAACGCTAAGAAATAACGGTCTTAGATATAGATTCAAGCGATGTTTTTGATCAGCATCGAATTCTGAGTCGATTTAGCTTTGTTTGTCCGTCTGTTCGTCCGTCGGTTCCAACGATAACTCAAAAACTAATTAAGCTAAGTTCATCAAATATTCACAAATGATTAATTATAGTAAATGCCAGAACCCTATTGAAATTGTATATATGATCGGGGTACTGGTTCGCGTAGCTGCCTCACATTTTCCAAATTTATTTGACTATATCTCAGAAACTATAAAAGATGTGGTATTTTTCATGTTAAACCAGTATGTTTGATAAAAGTCGTTAAAATTGCTTGGCTCTTTCTGGTAACTGCCATACAACTTCAATAGTAGTTTGCCACACACAGTATTTTGAAAAACACAGTACTGAAATTTTGCATGAATTAATATGGTAACACGAGCCATAGTCAGCTCTGTGGGATATTCACAACTCGCACATAGGATAATAAATTCGTACGGGTATCACAGAGTTGACATGGGCAACTCTATTTATTTTCGTTTTAGTTTTCAATTCATTTTACATTAAAGCATTTCCACGCATTTCAAATTAAGCATCAAATAGAAACTATAAAATACTTAAGAATTAGTTTTCATTGATTTCGACAATAATTTCATTAAATTAAATTAATTACAAGATATTTCTGTTAAGTGCAAGACCTAATCCATATTGCTTAAATTTAAAAACTAATTTTATTAATATAAAATATAATACATTAAGCACATTTCCAACAAAATTAGAGGAAACTTTAGTTTGACTATGTCTGTCCCCTCATATACGTACGACTAAAATTTCTGTGCCTTTAAGTTAAAAAAAGACCGTAACTTTGTACATAACTGGACCATGATGAGAAAAATTATTTCTCTAAAAAGAAATTTCTCTTATTTTGTTCGCCCCTCTCTCAAATTCATGATCTGCCAAAGTCATAAAAATGACATTTGTTTTAATATTTCTAGAGACGTAGCCGAAAGCATTTTTTTAATTCCATAAACGTGACTAACTTTTTATATTTCTAAACAGAATGTGGAAACGTTGTATAATGACAAAATGGCCATCAAAATTAACTGCTGTCTTTAATCCGCTTATTTACAATATTCAACAAAATTCTTTTGTATAGACACTAAACAACAGCATCCTGTAATTTTAGCGTTTCTAGATTATAAAATTAACTAATAATTAATTCCATTGGTGGAAAATTATTTTCTACTTTTTTCCATAACCTTAAATTCAATAATTAAAATATTTTCAAAAATTGTAAATTTTTTTATTAAATTGTCGTTCAATAAATAAATAAGAAAAAATTTACTAAATACATAGCTTTACTTAAAATAATTTCTTCTTAATTTTAAATAAATGAAAACAATTAAGAAACTAAGAAAACAAACTATTCCAAAACTACCACCAATTAAATAGAACAATTGATAATTCTGAATATTTTTAATATTATTGAAATTTGGGCCTTCATTTTCATCATTATCATAGTCAGGAATAATAACACGAAATGAAATTTTTGAAATTTCTTCAATTTCAGATGAATTTCTGTGTTTAATAATATCACTATTGTTATTGGAGCTTCTTCTGAGTCGTGTCAAAGCATTATTACAATTTTGAGTATTTATATAACAATCAGCTCTTTCCATACACCCTGTAATTTTTAAACTTAAAACAATTTCCTCTCCACTACGCATACCCTGAAACATAATAGCTTTAAATGATAAACGATATCCTAGTGGTGGATCAAAACTTGGTTGTGTTGGACAAACAAGACGCATTACTGGATTAATACATCCCTGTTGTGTAATAATATTGACTGAATTTAAAATTTCACCTGAAGGAGAAAATCTTTGTAAATTTACATCGGTTAATTTCGTGTAATTCCAACCTTAAAATTTTGTAAAATTTTTATTATGAGAATTTTATTTTTTCCTCAAAAATTTTGTTTACCATCTCCAATATTAACATGTGTTCTTAGTAACAACTCCTCTCCTAGATTAACAGATCCATGTGGTTCTAAACGTTTTGTAAAACCACTGGATGATTTTCGTAAAATATCAATACGTGTTCGGAATGGTTGTTGAATTCCTCCTTGTGCAAAAGCACCTACACTTCTTCCTTGTCTAGAAATAAAATGTATTTTAAAATTATTATTTCATTGTTATTTCCGATACACTTACATATTATTAGATGTAGCCATTTTTAAAGCATGAATTTTTGTAATAATTTTCTCTTGCAATTTACATTGAAGAGTTAATATGGAATCAGATGCAGTTTTAATTTCTGGAATTAATGGAAATCGTATTCTTAAACATAAATTATCGCCACAGTTACGTATACCACATTTTAAAAAATCTTCTACCGGTATATTAACAAGTATATGAGATTGTGTTAATTTTAATTCACATCTAGAATCTAAAACACCATTGTCAACTATAGGTATTAATGATATAGGACTATCTAATCTTAATACAGCTTTAAAAAATCCATTTTGACTATTAATACATCGCATCTCTTTTAACTGTAATTTTATTGGATTTCTTGAATTTGTTGTAAACTCAGAAAAATCTTTCGAATGTCGAATTGATACATCAGATGGTATAGGTGGTAAATATCCCAAATTAGGTTCATCTATAGGATTAGGTATTGGTGTTTCAGAGACACTAATTGGTGAAACCGGTTCCTCATAATGATAGCCTTCAGATGGAATTTTATCTATATCTGGTCTATTTGGATTTTTATCATCTAATGGTACATCAAATTCATCAATTGGTTTTGGTGCAATAATTGGTGGTTTATTTGAAGGAACATTATAATCATAGCCACCAAATTCATTTTTATCATATGTAACAAAAATCTGTCCATTACCAAAATTTTTAAATTTTATTCCATTTTGAGAAAATGGAGGCAGATAATCTTGTGGATTTAATCCAGAACTACTGTTAGTCTGTTCTACAGGTAATGTACCAGAAAATGATTCATTTGGTATTTCAAATTGTTGATCCTGTTCTGGAAATTGTTGTTGTATTGGATTATCTATCGGTTTAAAATCATCTGAAGATCCAGGTATATATAAATTATGTGGAGGTTGTTTGGTTGGACGTTGATAATCATATGGATTTTTTGTTTTTGCCCGTTTATTAATTATGATTTCTGGAAAAAAGAATTCTGTTGTTGTTGTCGGTGGTGGTGGTGGCGGTAAAGTAGGTTTAGGTATTATTTGTTGCGGTATTTCATATAACGGTTGATAATAATGTTGATAAACTCCTTGATGTAATAAATGAGAGACATCGGAAACAACAATTCTAAAAATATATAATTCAATTGAAAGATACAATATTTTTCCAATATTCATTCCAAATTAATCTTATTAAAAATATTTGAAAGAATAAAATCACATTGCGTAGAGAATGTGCGTTTGTTTTTTCAACACTGTTGATAAATATTCGAAAATAATGCTTTTATATATGAGAAATTTGTACTTATAGGCAAATAAGGTAGGCAAATGAAATTATTTTAATTAATCGTGACCTTTAAAATTTAAATATCACGATATTTATATTGGATAAGAAAAATTTTTTAATGTGGCTCACATTTAACCAAATTGTATTTAATCCTACACATGCATATTGTCCTATATTCTCAATTATTTTCACTCAACTTTCCCCTAAATCAATTTTTGATCATGAAATATTTTCAAAATAATGACCATATTTTTATTACGTGGAATAATTTTACCTTCCTCATAGTTGTTTTTGAACAGAAACAGTAAAAATCATTTTCAAATTGTAAAGTTGAACTCAAGTTTTTTGTGATAAACCTGAAAGTAAGGAAATGATTATTATTAGAAAGTAGAAATTCTTATAAAAATTCCTAATAGGAAAACGCTAAACAATAAATTTTTCTTATAAAATCAACATCTTGATTTTGGTTTCTAATTAACAAAGAGAAAACAAATCGTCAGCCGTTCACGTTTGCCAACATTGCCAAATTTACTATTGTCAAAGCTTTGCGTTTCCAATGCTTTGAAGAGCGCTACACCTTAAATTTACCAAAGCATACAGTTCATTTCTACTAATTATATAGATAGATTTATATGATTATGTTGAGAACCTTAAACTAGCTAACCAATATAGACTGGAGAGCAATTAAACATCTTTTATCAAGCACTAACCGATATTTATTTCAAACTGCACGTATACTTATATATGTTTGTCTATATCTTGTTATTTAATTAAAGATTTCATTTAAAATATGTCAAACTTGCAACTTTTATCAAATAGTAGTGATCCAAATTTTCAAAAAGATAGAAATTCATCACCATTACAAAGACGAAGAAAATTTAGTTTTCCAGCTACTTTGCATGCTACAACATTATTAGATGTTGGAACAGCTATATCAGCTAGAAGACGTTTGAGTAATGTTAGTGATGCAGTTAGTAGAAAATTATCATATACAATAGGATGGAAACAATCTCAAATTTCTGTTCAAGAAATTACAGCACAAGTATAACTAAAAAATTCAATATGATTTAAAAATAATTTTTCAATTACAACACAATTTTTTTGTTTTTGATCTCGGTATTATTTGTATAGGGTAAGTGCCTTTGTGGCCAGTACATAAGACGACGTCTGAAAAGATCTGGATTATATAATCGTAAATTAGGTTTTCAAAGAATTAGAAGTATTATTGGAACTGCAATGGTTAATCCAACAGTTAAAGATATTTTTCCAGCTGTATCAATCGTAAGATTATTTTTTAAAAGACAAAATTAGATTAATTAAATATAAAAAAAAAAAAACAATTTTTTCGTAGTTAGGTGATGAATTAGAAAGATTACATCCAAGAGTTTATACAGGCGTAACCCGACAAATATCAAGAAGTGCTGAAATTGAATCACCTGAAGCAATTACAATATTATTAAGTACTGTAGCAAGAGAACTATTTCGAAATGATATAACATGGGGTAAAGTTATATCTTTATTTGCAATTGCAGGTGGCTTAGCAGTTGACTGTGTTAGGCAAGGTCATTCAGATTATTTGCCATCTTTAGTACAAGGTATGATTACTTCCATATGTTGCGTAATATTATGCGTAAAAAATTAAATGTGAAATTTGAATTCAAGTGAAAATTTTTGTAAAAGTTCGGGTTAATAGTCGGAAATTGTGTATAAACCTTGTGTTTAAGAAGATTAATCAATTCAAATTTTACATAAATTTTATAAAAATAAAATTTCCCTTACACTTTTTACTTGCATATTTAGAACATACTTAGGAACATATTATTCATTTTATTTACCTTTGTATGATAGGTGTGTCTGATGTTATTGAAGATGAACTTGTGACATGGATAAATGATAATGGCGGATGGGTATTTATAAAGATCTCGAAAATATATTTGCATTATTTCAACTAATTCTTAATTTTATAGAATGGTCTTAACACACACGTTTATCCTGAAAATAATGAATTTTCAACATTTGAATGGACAACTTTAACGTTTGGTTGTATCGTAGCTTTAATAATTCTTGTTATAATTATACGTTTTATTTTCAATGTTTATTTAATTCCTAATTATTATAATAAAATATGATAAAAAACAATTATCCTTGTTCTTACGAATTATTTTCTCTTACATAATTTTCTCATAATTGAATGGAGACTACTTTATTAAGGTATCCTCCCAATTTCTAAATTACTGATTGAAGCAATATATAAATAAAATAAATTGATTTTTTGAATGAATTTGACTCGGTAATTTTTCAAATTTAAATGAATAATTTCATAACATCATAATTTATTTTTAGGAAGATAAAATCAGCGCAAGGCAATGAAAAAGGAAGCAAGGAAATTATAAAAGATCTTATAATATAATTAAAGTTTCATACATAAAGATGTCGCTTTTATAGTTTAGAAAATTTGTAAAGAATATAGAACTTATTTACTACTCTCTAGCGGACAATAGTAAAAGTAGGATTAAGTTTTTTCTTAAGCCAATTATTGAAAATTTTCAAATTGCTTCTATACAAAATAAATATGAACAAATCAAAGCGTCACCTAGTGATCAGAAAAATTTAATTTAATTTTTTATTTTATGTGAAAATTAAAAGAGAAAGATATCCAGTTCTTTATCTTAAAGATTCGGAAAGATATCGCACATTTGGATTAAGCGATATGACAGTAAAAATTCATATGTTTCACATGAATTTTTATTTCACAAAAATACTGCTCAGCCCATTAAAATCAAATGTTGAAAGTGATCGTTGAACATCAGTGCCCTGATGACCACTGGGAAACATCAGGGGAAGAGATCTCTTTAAATGAAATAAGGATTCAGTCAACGCATATTGCGTTTCTTGAAGTGAAAAAAACTTCAAATGGCAGTTCTTACGGAATTACTTTTTTGTTTTTTTTTTTTTATGGTGAAAAAGGTTATATTTAAGTTTGTACACAAACCAACAAGCAATGATCGCTGCCGATCATATGATACTTTCATTAACATCATTGTGTGATTGTTTTTTTTTTTAGATACAATTGACATACGTATTTATCTGATGTTCATTTTCCTTTGAAATATCAGAAAAAAGGCGAAATCTCTGGACCGTACCGTAATTCTTTATTAAGAGAGCTATGCAGTTTTTTTAAAGAGCACTTGCTTTGCATTTTAAATTATAAATAATTTTAAGTAAATTCGAAATTTTATAAAAAAAAAATTAAAATTTTATGCTATTAAACACACACGCTTTTTTATGCCGTTTGAAGAAGAATATGAAACATTTCAAAGGAAACCAGAATGGAAAGCTCGAAAACAATCTAATGTTAATGAATCTCAAGAATATAAAAAGGAATTAGTCGAACAGGTAATATATTTAAAGAAATTCTGCCACATTTAAAACAAATAGAAAATTTGGAAAATGTTCTTTAGTTGAAGGTTAAAGAACCATAATTGCATTTATCAGTATTTTAAAAATATACATAATTTTCAATAAAATAATGAGTTTTCTATTTTGTCGTATACATGCTTACATATATGTATATTAGTATGTAAGGACATTATCAAATAATCTTTCTAATTCATAAAATAAATTTTCAGGGGCGATGCTTGTGTAGCTACTACATACGAAATCGTTTAAGAAGAGCAGGACTTCTGAATAAAAAAGTTACACAAAGATTACGGTTTCTCTTAGAGCCATCTTCCGATGTTGTGTACGACGTTTTTCCAGCTCTTAATACTGTGAGCAAATATCTGCTTTTTAAAATCTTTATAATGGAAATTTTATAATTTTAATTGCAATTTAACGAATAATTGTTATTTTTTAATTACAATTTTTATTTTCAAAGAAATCAGTGTGCCGTAATCGAAAAATTTTTTTGTTTTTTTGGTTTTTAGATGGGAGAAGAACTTGAAAGAATGCATCCACGCTTATATTCAAATGTCTCAAGGCAATTATCTAGAGCACCATTCGGGGAATTAGAAGATTGTGATACAGCGCCTATGCTATTAAATTTAGTAGCGAAAGAATTATTAAAAAACAACATAACATGGGGGAAAATAATTTCAATATTCGCTATATGTGGTGGTTTTGGGATTGATTGTGTTCGGCAAGGTCATTATGATTTTCTACAATTTTTAATTGATGGTTTTACAGAACTGATTGAAGATGATCTTTTGCTGTGGTTGAGTGAGAATGGTGGATGGATAGGTTTATTAAAACACATAAGACAAAAAAATACACAATTTACATTGTTGGGTTGGCTAACGATATTTGTTATTTTTAACATAATGTTTTATTTTATCTCAAATATTGCCAAACAGATTGGTTGCCATTTGTATTCCTCTTTGTTTTAATTATGTTATAAAAATAAAAAAATTACATTCTTAATATTATTGGTTATTCTATATTCCAGATTTTTTATTTAATGTGGTTAGAAAGTATAAACAAGATGTTCAAATATTTTATTTTAAATACAATATTTTAATATGTTAATGTTTTAAAAAGAATTCCTAGCTAATTTACATAAGCAAAATATGCATACATACTAACATTCTCTATTGTTACAATATTATTTTTTTTTTAAAGTGGTTTTGTTATGATTAAATTTGAATATTGGATTATTTTTTATATAAGTTCGTAATTGTTGTACTTACCACAGGTACCTCAATGTTATAATTATAAAATTGTTTTTTTTTTTTTGTAGTTCAAATTGTTTCGTTTATATTTAGAAAATTATATTTATTTGTTAAATTTCAAATACGAGCTTTATTAATAAAACACACTTGCAAATTAATTGAATTTTTGTAATATTTATTTACCATTAAACTTTTCAATGAGACACAACCTGGTATTACATTTTAATAAGATAAAAAAAGAATTCTTATTGATTATTTTTACATCAAATCCGTTGGAAATAATATGAGAATACATTATGTATATACATATACATACATACTTTGACTTCCAACACATTTCATAATTATTTTTATAAGAGGAAACAAAAAAATTCTTCTACCTTAATCACTTGAACTGATCGGTAATTATTACAATATAGTATTTGACTTTATTTTAAAAAACAGAAAATTTTTGAATAATATTCCACTGCCTCGAGTTATGTGCCTAAGAGAATATATATCTTTACATTCCAATGATTATTATTTCAATCGAATATACATGAATATATATATATTTTAATAAGAATTTTTTAAAGTATTGGGATGTTCCAATTGTAGAAGAACGAAATATGTATGTACAGACTGTATGTATGTACATATCCACATACTTTTTTATAAATTATCCGTATAAATTTACACGTACAAATGCAAAGTTCGATAAAATGCAATTAATTTCCGAAAAAACACATGTCCGTCTCCGGAAGATCTCAAAGCATAGCATGAAATTCAGAAATTTTGATGACGTTATTGTTTCCATAAATTCATTCTTATATTAAAAAGCTTAAGTTTAAGTAAGATTGACAAGAGTATCGGAGGATTAAAAATTGAGTTCCTAAAATATGATTAACAACGAAATTCTTAAAGCAAACGAATTTAAAACAAATAAGACTCTCAATGAATTAGTATTCAATCTTTTTAATACATACGTATTAGTTAATATGACTATAAAATTATTCATATTATTACTCATTATTGAAAGCAAACCTTATTCTACAATACTTATATATTCTACAAATATTCTACAATACTTATATATATAAAAAATAAACAAGTAACAAATTATATAAACCGAAAACAAATCTAAACAAAAATGAATGACCTGCAACACATGAAAGTACAATAAACTTCTTGTAAAATAACTATAAGAATTGCTATAACCGGGTATAACTGGTTAACTTGTTAACAATTCATCTGTTGACAAAATACATTCCGTTGATATTATAGCTTCATCCTTACAAAAGTATTCCAAATGTTTTTCTATTAAATCCAAACTACTATGCATTTCTTTTTTATGTTCTTCTAATGCAAATGATCTTCCGTATGATGCTCCACATATATTACAACAATACTTAAATTTTTTTTTACTAGTTTCATTTTTATGAGTTTCCATATGAACTTCAACATTGTGCATAGTTGCAAAAGGCCTGTTGCACAAACTACAAAAAAATGGTTTTTTGTGAGTATTTTTATGACCATGCATTTGAACAGCGGTTTTGAACATTTTCGGACATTCTGGACATTTGAATTTTCGTTCTTCAGAATGTGTTTGAGAATGGTTCGCGTAAGTTGAAAATCCCTTAAACCTAAAATATTAATAACCTTAAGAAATTTTTAACTGGAAAGAAACTTTCATTGAAATACCTTTTGTTGCAAATTGTGCAAACATATGGTCGTACTCCCGTATGAGTTCGTAAATGTAATGTCAAAGAATATGAAACTCGAAAAGATTTTCCACAAACATCACATTTATATGGTTTTTCGCCAGTGTGAATCCTTTCATGTTTCACTTTTTCATGTGGCCTCTTGAAAGATTTATTGCAGTGTCTACAAGCGTAAGGATATAGTGTTGTATTATTTTCCATGTTTGTTAGTTTTTTTAATGAAGATCCAAATATACTATCTTCTCTACCTTCATGTAAAGTTAAATGCATTCTAAAACTTTCCATACTTTTAAATTGCTTATTACAAATTTTGCAAATGGTATTTATAGTATTTAAACGGTGAAATTTTGAATGTTGATCTTGCAATTTTACATCAAAACTGAAATGAAAATATGAATAAGTATGCAAATGAAATGAATTTAAATAACGAAATTAGAAACTAACAGATCTAGAAGAAATCGTTAATGTAACAAAAATTAATATTTAAAATTAAAGATTTTACACACCTTTTTTTACAGAGTTCACAATAAAACATGAGTAAACTATGATTTTCGTTTTCAGCCAAAGCTTCAATATAACTCTTGGATTTGACAGGATAATGTATTCTTGCATGCAACCTAGGTATAATCAAAAAACAAGTGTAAAAAATTATTAATCGTACTTAGAAAGCATCAGGACCTACTTTAAATTTTTCACTGAAGAAAAGGTTGTTTTGCAAATAGAACATGTCTTAGTTTGATAATTTATTTTAGATTCATTCTTTAATACGGACGTAGTATTTAAAATTGAAAATTCTTCATGGTATTTTTCCAAATTTTTATCATAATCCTGCAGTTTAAAAAGGTAAGCAAAATATTATATTCAATTTTATAATGTTATTGGAAATAATGAATCAAATTCATTAAATTAAAAAATAAATAAAATTATTTACTGCGGAATCATATTGTTCGTCTTTTCTATCAGCCTTTTTTTCAGAACTTTTGTTATCAATTAAAACATCATTAAATTCATTTGTAATAATCCCACTTTCAGTATCAGATATGCATTCAACGTTAGTTTTTTTAATCGCTTCATAATCATATTCAGAGTTAAGTTGACTTTCTGTTTTATTTTTATTAGTGGCTTCTATAAGAATTGACTGGTCTTTATGAAACATCTTTATATGTCGCATAACATCTCTAAAACTAGTTTTTTGAGCAGAAAACCAGTAGATTAGGTGTTGGAAAAACGAAGAGAACAAACTTTACATTACCTGTATTTACAGACACTGCATTGATACAATTCCTCCTCGTCATCTATTACTCCAGAAATTTCTTGCGTTGCTATGTCATCATCTATATTTTCTATAAGATATTCTATATTTGAGCAATCTGGATCCTGCTGCTGATTTTTTAAAGAACTCCTGTCAGTATAATTAACTATTCCTGGAAGATAATATATATTATAATTTTCAATATTTTTTGTTATTCAAAATATGTTTTATCTCACGAGTCATCGCTGTTTTAAGTTTTTAGATCTTAATTTTTAACGGAATTTTTGTTATGCAGCTAATTTAGTGCAAAATTCATTTTATGTTATTTATTTATTTTGTGCATTGTACATTGCATATACGAGTATAATACATCTACAAATGTACATACTTTAATTTTCGATTTTCGAACCTTCAATCTGAGTTATTTGTTTTATTTCAACTGATTTCAACATTGCCAGTTTTACCTATTTATCTTTCAATTCTATCGATATCGTTTGTTTACACCAAACTGCATTTGTAATTTAAGTTGAATTTCCACTAGATGTAAAAACGTCGCGATAATAGTATTTTTATACAATAATTGAGAAATTCTATTTCATGCAAACACGACAATGTGGATTTCATTTAATTTCGCAGAACAATCGCATATAATTTCTTTTCTCGAATAAAAATTATTAACAATACGCACGTTGTCTTAATCAATTAATAAACTTAAAAATTTAAGTTTATTAATTAATTAAGATTAACAGATCAGAACAAGAAAGTGGGGCTGGATAGGCCACACACTTCGGAGTGTTTCGAAGAGCCCTTTAATGGAATCCGCAGGGTAAAAGGAGAGTAGGCAGATCCAAAGAAACATGGCGTAGATCAGTAGAAAAAGAAGTGGGGGACGCCCTTAAAACATGGTCCGAAATAAAAGAAATGGCGCAGAACAGAGTGAGATGGAGAAGCTTTGCTGATGTCCCATGCTCCCAAAGGGAGTAGAAAAGGAAAAAAAAATTGATTAAGTGAAAATCCATCCTTAAACTTATTGCACAACTTTTTTTCAAAACACTTCAAAACAGTTAGTTTAAATGAGAAAAATCGGCAAAAGAAAAGGAATGTTGAAAAAGAAAATTAATCAGTCTCGTAAACTATGAATGACTATGTAAAATAACTCTACAAACAAACTTCTTCAGGGATGCTGCTAGCAAAATAAGTAATTGAAGATTTTATTGAATTACTAATTTGCGCCTATTACTCTAAAAATATTAACACAATGAAGATTTTTTCACACATGAAGAAACATTTGCTTTTCAATCTAGTTATTTTAAAAGTAGCGTCTAGGTTTATTATATTTTAATAAATTAATGAGTTATCCAAAATTCGTCCTTTATTTAATTTGTTTGAAAGTGTGGCAAAATGTGTGCTACTGTAAGGGTTTTGTTCTTGTACTTTTTCAGAAAAGTTGAGAACACGACATAGTTTTTTAAAGGAAGAAAATGAAAAATCAAATCAATAGCAGGAATTAAATTTAGTTATTTTTTAATTTAACTTTTATGAAGAAATTTAAAAGAAACACGGCGTTTGATGTATTTGGAATAAGTAAACGAAAACGGCCAATTGTAAATTATTAAATCATGTGTAGTTGATTACTGTCATATAAAGATGTCTCTACTATGCCACGTTGGAAATATTGACGTCTCCGTCAGAATTGGTAAAAATTATTAGTAAAAAAGTTCTTATGTGGCGTTTTGTATTTACTTTTGTAAAATAATTTGTTTTTTTGTTTTTTTTTTATCATCGTACCATCCGTAAGTTTCAAATAAAATAATATATACATTTTTATTTTGAAAGATAGTGAGGTCAATTATTTATTCATTTGTACATTAAAATTGATTTAGATATTTGACACTTGACTCAATAATTCAATAAGTTTAGATAACGACCTCAAATAATTTAAAATTAAAATCAAGATGAAGATAAAGGAGTTGCAAAAGACGGTAAACATGACATGGTCCCCCATGCAGCAAACCTCAATTATGTTAGCAGCTGGGACTGCAGCGCAGCAGTTGGATGTTAATGTGAGCTCGGTGTTAGAAATATACTCTGCAAATTTACTTGACCCTGTTTATGATTTAGAGCTAAAGGTTTCTCAACCTAGCCGTTATAAGTGGGTTAAAATTAACACATAATGGAATATATGAGCTATACTTTATCAAAAATTTCGTTTCAGATTTCAAAAATTAATTTGGTCACCACATAATATAAATGATAGTTATGCAAATGGATTAATTGTAGGCGGATGTGAAGGAGGTCATCTTCAAGTTTTTAATGCATCTAAATTACTAGCTGGTGAAAATGGATTAGTTGCTGATCAAGACACGCACACAGGTGCTATTCGAGGACTAGATTTCAATCCGTTTCAAAATAATTTATTAGCTTCTGCTGCGTCAGAATCAGAAATTTTTATATGGGATTTAAATAATACATCAACCCCAATGGCGCCTGGAACCAAAACTCAGCCTCTAGAAGATGTTCAAAACGTGGCTTGGAATCGCCAAGTTCAACATATCTTATCTTCGGTGTTTAGCTCAAGATGCGTTATTTGGGATTTAAGAAAAAATGAGCAGATTATGAAATTAAGTGATTCTCAATCTCGTGTTAGATGGAGAGCAATTCAGTGGCATCCCGAAATTGCTACCCAACTATGGTTAGCTTCAGAAGATGATTCAGCTCCTTTTGTTCAATTATGGGATTTGAGATATGCAACAGCTCCTGCAAAGTCGCTGCAAGTACACAATCGAGGTATTCTTGGTTTAACATGGTGCCCTACAGACGTAGATATGATGATATCATGTGCAAAAGATAATAAAATTTTGTGTTGGAATCCGAATAGTGAATTACCAAATGGGGAAATATTAGGTGAAGTTGCAACAACTATTCAGTGGTATTCAGATGTACAATGGTGTCCGCGTAACCCAGCGCTTATAGCTAGTTCTAGTTTAGAAGGAAATGTTTCTATATATTCCCTCTTTGGTGGAACTCATCATCAGGTTTTAACATCAAATAAAATTGCGGATTCATTTCCAGGTATGGATCAATTTTCCCAAGCACCAATACCTCAACAAACAACGCAGATTATTTATCAAGACCTAATCAAACCGCCAAAGTGGATGAAGAGAAAGTCAGGTGTTTCATTCGGGGTAAAAATTTTTTTGAAATTTAACCTTAAAAAATTATTTTTTAAAAAATTGTAGTTTGGTGGAAAACTTATAACGTTTGGCGATAAAAGTGGCCAGCAAATCAAAATAAATCAAATCGTAACTGAAACAGAGTTGGTAAATAGAGCGAATGCCTTAGACAAAGTATTAGAGGATGGAAATTATTCAGAATATTGCAAAAACAAAGCAGATCAAATGTCAGATCAGGATGGACGATATTTATGGTATTTTATTAAGGCAAATTTTGAACTGAATCCACGGGAAGAAATGCTTAATTTGCTAGGTAAATTTAAATGTTTTTGATAAATTTAGATATCTTTCATTAAATTTCATTTTAAATCATAGGCTATAATAAAGAAGATACAGCGAACAAATTTAAAAAACATACTAAAATTGAAAATTTAGTTAACAGAAATGGAATAGAAGATGTTACTGCCAAAATGGCAACTTTAACACATGTAAGTAGTGAGGAAAACTATTTTTTTTTATTTATTATTTAGTCATCAATAACTTATTTGAAAAATATTTTATTGTTTGTTGAATTTACTTGTAACTTTGTTTTGTTTGTAATTACATTTATATATATGTTATATTATATTCATCATTGTGCACATTTCTCGTCTTTTTTTTATTAAGAATTACTAATCCCATTGAACATTATGTTTAAATTAATATAAATATATTTGTATGCACTAAATTTAATTCATTAATATTACGAACACAGAGTGACTCATCTGAGGTTGAGGGTGACCAAAGCACGGATGATAGTACAGATATCTCGGTAAGGCAACAAAAAAATCATTGAAAGAACTAAATCACAAGTGGCTTTGATTAAAAACTAATGACACTTAACTGAATGTTTGCAAACTTCTAGTTTGTGTCGTCTACTGTATCATAATAAAATTTAAACTTACATGGTTTAAGTTTAAATTTTTTGTTCGTGATTCTTTTTAAATTTATTTCAAATTATATTTTTTTTTTAATCCATAACCATTGTTTTCTCTTATTGGCTAGCCTTTTTTATAAACTACAAATTGGTTCGAATTGGAATTTAAAATATTAATAGTATTTTTTTTTCAAAATTCAATAACTTGAAACTGCTAATTCTCTGATATTTTATATAATGCATTGAAAATAAAACTTCGAAAAAAAAAAATGTTTTAATCATAATCACTTGCGGTTGCTTATTTAATTTTCATTAATTCACCATAATAACAAGTTTTGTGAATAGTTTATATAATGTCCTAATTAGGTTAAATATTTTCAATTGTAAAACAAAATGCATTTATAAATTTTTAAGGAATATTTTACGTGACTTAATTTTTCATTTATCCTTATAGGGAGGTGATAATAATGCTTTATTTGATGCTTTGGCGGAGGAAAACAAGTTACAAAAGCAAATAGCCGACAAAAAATCCCAAAAATTTAAAATTCCAACCGGAGACGATAGTAGTGGATTAATATCAGAGGCCATCTTGAGCGGCAATATTGAAGCCGCTGTTGACTTATGTTTTAGTTGTGGTAAATCCACAGAAGCGTTGATTATAGCTTCAACAGCAGGGATCGATTTTTTGAAAAATGTGCAATTAAATTACTTGCTAAAACAAAATAATGAGGTATCTAATATAATTATTGCATTAGCTCAAAATGAATGGATTAATATTATGAGTAATTGCGAAATTGAATCTTGGAAAGAAGCACTGATGGGTGCGCTAACTCATAGTGATGCACGTTTGGGAGATCTTTGCGGTAATTAAGCGTCTCAAAATAACTCAATTACGGTGCAATAAAATATTTTATAATTTCAGCCAAATTGGGTGATAGATTGCAGGAAGAGTCAACGGAATTCAATTTAATGCGCAAAGCTTTGCTTTGCTATATTTGTGCTGGAGACGTTGGGAAGTTAGTAGAAGGTTGGCTAAACTTACGTAATAAAAAAGCAAATACAAAGCTTTCAACATCCGAATTACAAGATTTAGTGGAAATTGTCATGTTGCTTAAAAAATCACTCGAATTACGAGGAGTTTCAATTCAGGTATCAGGCCAGTTAGCTGAATTTTTAGCTCAGTATGCCGGATTGTTAGCAACTCAAGGTGCGCTAGATACGGCACTCTCATATTTAGGACCCACTGAAGATGCCCTGTTGGAAGACCTAAGAGACCGACTATACTATGCTTTAGGACATAAACAAATAAATTCGTCGTATTCCCGTACCCGTACTGTTAGCCAAAACATATATGGCAGATCATCAGTAACGTCGTCCACGTCAGCAATAACAAATCAAAGGTTCCAACCCAGAGGGTCATTTTCAAATCCAGTTCCAGTTTTACCGGCAATGAACTCAAACACAAATAATTTTAACGCTGGAATTGTGGGGCAGCCTCAGCAGCCATGGAACATGCCGCCAAATGTTCCTTCAAATATTCCTCCAGTACCAACTTTTAACTCAATGCAAAATTTACCTCAAAATACAACCTTAGCGCAACCACCATTACAACCAACCACTATGTTATCTCCTCCGCCACCTTTGGGTAAACCACTGCAAATAAATGAGACACTTCCAAATCCCCAAAGACCTTCAAGTGTGGGTTCACAAGGAAGTGGACCACTGACACGCAAATATGTGGTTGATCCTTCTGTAAGCTCTGGGCCACAATATGGTCAAATGGGTGCATTCAATCCAAATCAACAAATGAATTTAACTGGGAATGGATCATCGTTTCAGCCGTATCCAACTTACAATAATCAAGTCAATCAAAATTTGAGTAATTCAATGCCTCCAGCAAATACCATATCCAGTCAAAACTTTAAACCTTTTATACCATCTCAGCCGGGAGCTGGTTTTAATAGTAATATTGCTACTGGTATACCGCCTGTAGAAATGGGGCAAACAGTGATGCCGCCTCCTGCAATGGAGAACTGTAATCCAACGCCTCCTCCTGGTTGGAATGATCCGCCACCTCTATCTTCTTCAAGCCGACAGGTAAATCAATTTTTTTTATACACATATTAAAAAACTTCAGTTTATATTATTATTAAGAAATGCTTAAAATTTAGGAGTTACACAGATAATTAATTTTTAAATTAGTAGTTTTTTTAGATAAAATACAATTTAATTACTTTGTAAAATGGAAAAATATAAAATATGAAATTAAAATAAAATAATTTAATTCAGAGCTCAAAATAAAACAAAAAAAATTTAACATATTATCTCCCTTAAAAATTTTTTTGGATTTAAAATTTATTAAACATATTAGCAGAAAAATTGTATATAAATTATTTTGTAAAAAACAGAATGGAATGTCTGCAAAGCATGCAGGAACTAGGAAATGGCAGAAAATTATAAATGCTCATAATAGTTCTTCATCAAACGAGTTAAAAAAACCCTCCAAAAATCAAGATAGCTTCATGTTTCAGGTAGAAGAAATTAGTATATAGACGTGTACTTTTTTTTATTAATCTTGTAAAAGCATTTGCGTTTTTAATATTTTTTTACAATTGATTTTTATGAAAGAGTGCAATATTCCATTTTGTTCGCAGCTATAAATTATTTATTTTGTTTACATAGATTTAAGATGAATTTTGAACCTTCTTTTTGGACATAAAGGAAAAATTTCATGCGCATTCTGCTTTATAATTGTCATATATTATCATACAACCATATCAGACTACTCAATTTCATATTTGATACACAGCACAAAGCAAATAAAAGCAATTTGGCTCAAAAAAATTAAAATTTCGATGTTTGTAATTCGAAGTTTAAAATAATGATGTCTTGTAAATTACAAGAGTAATATTCGTGTATTGTTAAATTCTGCCAAAAAAATGTAATAGCATATAAGATCAACTGTAAATTAAAATTTAGGATAATTATCTTGAATAAGCAACGTTCCAAATTAATTACTATTCATGCAGAACATTTTTCAAATATGTATACATAATATATTAATTTACTTTTCCAGTTCCTTGTTTTTGAGTTCCTACATACATATATCTACATTTTAAATAAATTTTTTTAACTTGCTTCTGTATTGTTTATAGTAGATTTTTATTCAATAATAACTAACAAAATAATTTTGTCATAAAATTTATGAATATAATATTTATATATTTAAAAATATTTATTGTAAAATTAGCATTTTTTTTAGTAACTTACAGATTTTTGGTTTTGTTTGTTTTATAGAATGCGAATTATTAAATTTTTATACTAACACATTATTTAATTTTGATTTGAACGAAAAAATCTAATCTGATTATTTATAAAAAGGCAAAACCGGATGCGCAAAAGATGGCACCCATTACACATCCAATATTTGGAGCTGTAGATTCAAATCAAAACGGTTATATGGATCCAAATATTCAGGTATGAATTTTTTATAAATTCAAATTAAAATTTTATTATATATCTTGAAAATATGTTTTCTTTGTTTAGCAAAATTCCAATACCGCATTTTCTAATATACAACCTCCACCGTTAGCGGGTTCGCAAATTTATAACCCTAATCCTGTACAACCCCAGCAATATTTAGATAATCAAAGCAATTTCAGGCCTAATATAAACCAAATGAATTTTAAAACCCAGGCTATTTCTCAAGGATTTCAACAGCAATCTCAGGCTTTATCTCAACAGAATTTACAGCAAATGCAAACGAAACAGGAACCGCCAAAACAGAAAGCTCCTCTACCTGAAGAATATATTTATATGCAAACAGTATTAGAAGAGTTAAAGAATCAATGCATGAATGTCGCAGCAGATTTGGTATATACATATTTTAAATTTTTATTATTATAAATACATACTTATAAGCTAAACTTACAACTTCTTTTTTTTAAAGCGAACGAAGAAAAAAATTCAAGATGTTACAAAACGATTACAATATCTATATGATGCTTTAAGAGAAAAAAGGGTATGAATTCAAATCTGAGATTTTTAATATTTTTAATAAATACTTATAAAATTATTTTTAGCTTTCAACAAATACAATAAATTCTCTAAATCAAATTGTGCAATTTTTACAAACTGGTGACTATGGAAATGCATTAACCATTCATACACAAATAGTATCTGGGCCTGATTTCTCCCAAACCGCCAATTTTATGCCCGGAATCAAAGTGTTGGTACAGACAGCATCTGAGTTGAAAATATATTTACAATGAAATTGTAATAATATATAGAGCCATTTAAAATTATTATACATAACATAAATATTTTTGTTTTAAATATCGTTACACATTAAGCAGAAATTTTGTCTTAATGTATTAAAACATGTTTTATACTTCGTAATATTATGTAGGTGCTGAAGTCTCTTATGTAACTAAGAAAAATAATTACTATAATTTCAATATTTATAGATTCACATTCATTTAATATACACATATTATAAAAATAAAATTAAATAAAAACTTTATTAAAAAATATACATAGTATGTACCTACTTATATACCTGTTGTATATAATCAAAATTTTTACAAATTCTCACGAAGATCTATTATAATATGCAAGATGGAGAAACAGTAATTTCAAATTTGAATAATTTACTGTCTTTGTTCATTTTTGATTTTCACAAAACCAGTATATTTTATCCCGAGATATTTTTTGCTTTAAAAGACCTAAGGCAAATATAGGTTTTTGTTAAGTTTTTTTTTATAATTACCCATTTCGTGATTTTCACAGGGTATCAAATCCCTTGATAAGCAATCAAGGAACTTTATTTAATTTGATTAAATATTTTGGGCAAATACAATTTCCAACCTCGCATAAACTTTAAGTGTTCGAAAGAGAAATTCAAATTCCTTGTTTATTTCAGAAGTCTCTAATATACATACTTTATGAATCGTAAATGTTGGAGTATTTGCAAAGGTTTAGATAATTTGGAAATAAATGAAGAAATAGATAATTAGCTGACGAATTTAGGAAGATTCTTTAGAAGAGTATGAATGATTGAATCGTCTGATTTTTTGAATTTGAACAAGGAACGGTTTCTTCCTTGACATAAAAAAATACTATATTTTTTTTACGAATTACTAACTAAGTATTACTAATTCGTTGATTTTATGTCAAAATTTTGTGTCAAAATAAAAATAGACTGTATATACCGCATACGCAGATTGAAAGATTGAAAGTTACAAACTAATATACTTCAACCTTGTCAACTTATGTCAAATTCAAGTCGATTTCAAGATATATTAGGTCTGTCTGGTACTTAACATAACAAATTATTCTATATAAGTATTGTTGTTTGTGAATACCAAAGTATATCTATTAATAAGTAGTGGTGAATATCACAATACTTATTGCGGAATACGAATATATTCTATATAACAAGTATTTCTATCAGCCGTGGTCTGGTACAAAAAAAAAACTTGAAAAAAGCAAAATTTTGATTTTGGATTAAGAAAGGGTAAAACTTATTGTTGATGAAAAAAAGTTGAAAAATAAAACCTTCTGAAATAACTAAGAAAAAATATATTTGACAGCTTCATGATTTATAGGCTTCTTTAAAATACTAAATTTTACTTTACAAAACTTGAAAAAACTTTAAAACATTGAGAAAATGCTAACCTTTTTCTCAAAAAGTATTATATCAGACGCTTTGCATATTAAAACTTTACAAAGGTTAAAAATTTTTATAACAAACAAACCAGACCAGGCAACAGGTTCGTTATATTGCTTTGCTCGTTATATTTTGCGAAAGTATTTCTTTTGCCTTTTTTACAGAAAATGACAATTAGTATGGTTGATTCAGCCGTTTAATTTTAATGGGCTGAATTACATTTTTGTGGGAAGTTACCGTCAATCGTTAAAAGAGGACAAATCGTTAAAAAGGGTGACGGTTACTTCCGACAAAAATGTCATTCACCCCATTAAAATCAAAGGGCTGAATCATTTTGCGGGAAGTGACCGTCAACCGTTAAAAACATCATTGTTAAAAACGTATTGTGGAGTGAAAATCACGTTACCGATTCTAAATTGACATTTAAAATATTTCCCAATAAACTCATTATCATCTTATAGCAAATGATTCATAAAGCAATATACATATTTTTCTTGTAATTTAACTAGTTGAATGCATTTCAAATTGTCATAATAGTAAATCATTGTGCGAGCAGAAAAAAAATGAACAAGAAAAAATAATTTGATATTGTTGTTATAATTAAAATTTCATTTAAAAATATCTTAAAAATGGAAAATGCAGAATCTGGATCAAAAGTAAGAACACCTCCAATACCAAAACCGAGAAGATTATTGAAAAAATCCCAATACGAAAATGTAGTTATTCCTGAAGACGGTGGAAAAAATGATAAAATAATTCTTTGCTCTTCTGAATCAGCTACTAAAGATAGTGAAGAGAACTTGAAAATGGGTAACCAAACTGTTGAGAAAATGCCTGGTCCTGATAGGAGTAAAATTACAGAAACAACAGAATTATATGCCAATATAAAAAAGCCTAAAAAAGTATGTAAAGATGAATTTATAAAAACAGAGGCAGATAGTAGCAACAACAATTTGGTTATTGTACAAACTCCTTTCAATTGTGAAGCAATCGATGACTTAGCAAATAAAGATTATGACAGTGTTTTTATTACACAGAAAAATGGAAAATCAAATAATACAGTAAATATGTCTGTAAATAGCATCAGTTCTGTAACTAGTAGAGCAAGTACACCAGAGCCATTTTATGTAAATCAAGATCAGGTTTTTGGAAATTTTGAGTTCATGAATATCACTTGTAATATCGGTAGGTAATTACACCTTCTTTTATTAAGTATGAATATTAAATAAGTTTTTTGTTTATTTTAAGATAAAAACTTCAATTCACCTTTGCATCGTGAGGTGTTGTATGAATTTGACCCATTAATGAGACAGCGCAATTCAACAAGAAACGATGTGAGCAATCAACTTTTACTTTTGGAGAGTCTTTTAGAAGACGGCGTTTACAATAATGTCTTTGATGGATTAAATTTAACTCTAGAATCGGACGAATTATCTGATGAAGATAATTTAGGACACGAAAAATTTCTTCCACCAATCCCAACAAGATTTGATTCTTTAGATTCAAATTTAAACGAGAAGCCTTCCGTACATGTAGGTGGTAGGGATAATATGGTAAATTTAAATGTACCTCTCAAGAAAATAGAGAAGCAAAACGATGTTGGAACAGATTTGAAAACGCTTTCGAATGAAAAAGATATAATTCAATCAAAAAAAACTCAAACTAGTTGGTATTTAAACGAAGAAGCTTTGCCAGATAGTCAATCAGAAGAAATGCCACCACCGTATTCTCCAAATGTGCCTAAAAATTCGATTCAAAAATATGTTTCAAGTTTAAACGATATAAACTTTAATATTAATGGAAGGACTGAAATAAATAAAATGTTTTCTAATTTTCGCAATAAAATCAGTGTCTTAAAAAGGAAATCGAGTATAAAAAGTACTCGTTCTACTACTGAAACCGAAAAAAAATTTGAAATTATTCCAAGACCGAAATTAACAGATATGATGGTACGTCATGAAGGTTTTCTAATTAAATTTCCTTCAGGGGCAATAGAAGATATTTTCAAAGAAATGCAAAATCGTAAAGCTATAATGTCAGATTACAAATTTTTAGCCTATCAGGAATCTGAGCTTAAAAATTTGAAAGAAAAGATTTGTTTAAATGAGGTTTCGACCATACAATGTGTTAGTAATAGTAAAATAACGGAAAACTCGACTCATTACTATTGCTTTGAAATAACGACGGTTACACCCAAAATATTTACTCAGCAGAAACTTCTGAACTCAAGTAACAATTGTAACGATTTACGAAGTGGAAACTTTAAAGCACAAAGGTTAACGCATTTATATGGTATTAGCAAAGAATCTGAACGTGATTTGTGGATGCAAAAATTGTTACAAAGTTTAACCAATGTTTTTCCTACCAGTTGCACATGTCAATTTTATCGAGCTGGTTGGTGTTATTTAAAAAAGTCTATCACTGCAGAATGGTAAATAGATATTGAATTACGGTTTTATAAATTAAATTTTTATGATAAAGTTTTAATTTTTTACATTTGTATAATTTCAGGAGCGGGGCTTGGATTTTACTAACCAAAAGAAAACGGAAACTAGCCTTTTTTACAGAAAATGACCTATGCTTGGAAAAACTTGACTTACGGAAAGCTCGCTGTATTGTTATTAAGGACTTTGATAACTCCATCGAGAATTTGTGCATTGAAAAAGGACCAATCTTAATGATCGATTGTCCGCCTTTTTCATTATATTTTATAATGAGTTGCCCAAGGGAAACAAAAATATGGAAACATATTATATGTGAGGTGGCTTGTAATAATGGGCCTGGACTTGAAGAACAGCAATTAACTAAACATAATATTCCTGTTATAATTGACAAATGCATTAATTTTATATATATCCACGGTTCAATGGTAGAAGGAATATATAGAAAATCTGGTTCTGAGAATGCCGTACAAAAACTAATTTACAACTTTCGTTTAAATGCATTTGGAGTTGAAATAACTAAAGCTGAATACAATGAGCATGATGTTGCAAACGTTCTTAAAAGATTTATGAGAAATTTACCACAAAAATTACTTGGAAAATATAGCGAAAGTTTTGTAAGTGTATCACAGTTGGATTCGCTTAACGATAAAATAACATCCTATAAGGAATTGTTGAGCCGCTTGTCTTCAATCGAATTTATGACAGTAAAAAAATTGATTAATCATTTATCATTTATTGAATCACAGTGTGCTTACAACAAAATGACCTTGGAAAATTTAGCAGTTGTATGGGGGCCAACTTTGCTGCAGACAAAGAGAGGAAATGAAGATTTAGAATACAACCAACAGGAGGCGGAAGTTGTTATGGATTTAATTTTAAATTTTAAAAAACTATTTCCGTTGACGAAAGATGAACTTGATAAAGAAAAATCAATGCTGCATTACCTTAAAAAATATTATGCTGCTTCTGAAACATTAAATGATTTATCAGGTAAACAATCTGGTGACTTGAAAGTTTGGGTTATTCTGAAACTGAATTCTTCGAATGAAAAGTCTGAAGAAGAATCAAATAATATATGCGTCATATTACAACCTGGGAAAACAGCAATTGATGTTTGTAAAGAAATCGCGGCCAAAATAAATAAGCCATATAGAGAATTATCTCTTTTTGAGGTAATTTTTAATGGTTGTTTAGAGAGACCATTGAATGATGACGAAAAGTTATTTCAAATTGTACTCAGATGGTCATATTGGTCTGAGGAACAGAGAAGGGACAATGCTTTAGTAATAAAATCATCAAAATATTTACTAAAAATGAATAGAACGTTAGATATAATGAAAAATTATTCTTTAAATAAGGCTATATTTTATGCAGATAATAAAACAAAAACTTTTAAACCTTACGAAGCTGAACTAAAAGAAACTCAATTCTGTTTCAAAAAGGTTGCCAAAAATGGAAAAACTCACAAATATTTGAATTTGCAAGATTATTTAATATATTTAGGATCAGAAAGAAAAATTTCATATAATTGGGCAATAACACTTATTGAGAATTATCAAAATTTAAGTTTGAAAAACCCAGAAACAAGCTTTATTGGGCATGTCATTGCGGGACACAATAAAGATGATCAAATAGTTTTTTTTTCGCATATGTGGAAAAATATTTATGGTGATATTAAAATATCATGATTATTTCTGAACAATTTTAACAATTTAAAATTAGTAAAAATTTTATTACGTATTAATGCATTAAACATTTATAACACATGTTACATACTTAATTTTTAAATGTTGTATTTGATAATTATATAGGCAATATTTTGTATGAATTATTTTATCATACAAAAATATTTAATAAACTTTTACTTTTTATTTTTTTAAGATAAATATACACATTTTATGTATAGTATATTTTTTATACAAAAGTTATTGTAAATTTTCATATATTTTTTATAGATGCATTCATATATAAAGTTAATTGTGATTTTCATTTGATAAATAAAATATTATTACAATTAATTTGTAATACGGCGATAACAAACACATTGTTGAGTAATTGGATTTTTCTTGAGAGAAGCGATATAATATGTGATTTTTACCAGTCACATGATATCTATTAGTTATTTTTAGTTCAAATTTATTACAAAATAGATTCCAAATACAATGTGCAAGCATTTTTTAAATGAATCATAAGTTATATAATTAATTAAAGCAGTTTTTTTTTGCAGTTTTTCCAAATTTATAAATATTTTGATATTATAATACGTATTTCAGAAGTTTTTAAATGTATTATTACAGCTCGGTTTATATTTTTTATACTAATTAAAATAAAAACGATGTTTTAAAGACAAAAATGAGTAAGAAAGTAATAATCCTAAAGTTTCAAATACTGGTTTTGGTATGACAAATTTGAATTTGATTTAGTATATTTGTCATGAAAATTGACATTAAGTATAGAATCAAACAGAATCTTCAAATGATTTTCTTATTCTGATTCGATGATGGATGACTTTTTGTTTATAAAAAATTCTTTTAATGAATAATATTGAACACAAAATTTTTATGAATCTTCTTTAACCTTAAGCTGAATAAACAGTTTTCTTGTTACTTCATTTTCACAGTAAGTTTTTTACATTTTCACAGAGTATAAAATCTTGTGCATAAAGCATATTTTCAATAAAATGGAGGAAAAACAATGCTGAGAAGCTTCACTATGTCTACCCGTTCGTGTGTCTTTTTTACGAAATTTCTCCACGCTATGAAACAAAAAATTAAGATTTTATGTACAAATTTTTATGTTCCTTTAGAAGAAGATTTCTACCTAGCTTCTTCCTTCAATTTTTTCTATTTTTTATCTACTATTTGCATCCAACACAAAAGTATTTTGAATTTTGTAAAATCTTAGACACAGAATTTGCTTTTTAAGCACTTAGAAACATTACATTGGCAGAGTGAAGGTTAAAATTAACCATTATTTTAAATCTGTTCATCTTTGATATCGTTCTGATTTAAGGATAAGTTTATACAACTTGAGTATATGATTCAAAAACATGGTTTTAATAGTTAGTACAACTTGCAACAAATTTTTTTTCGGCATATATTTTTTTCATTTCTCTTTTCTATAAATTATTGCGCTCCAACATTATTCTTATAAATGTTTTTTTTTTCGAAATCAAGCTTATTGAATTTCATTGAAAACAAAAATATAACGGATGATTTAGAAAAGTATACAACAACATATACCATTAGTTAGAGGATCGAAAATTGAAAACTTGCTCTGGACTAGGTGGAAAATTTCAAGTGAAATTTTTATTTGTCCAAGTTTTTTTGATTATAACTTCCATTCTGAAGAAGATAGGAGCTTCAAAAATACAGTTTTTGAAATGCCTATTTTATCTAATTTGTATTTTATGTACCTGCGCAATACCAAGCATTCGAACTTTTGGGAAAATAAAATTTTTCACTTGTATTATATTTTCTATGTCTTAAATTAAAGCTTAAACAGCTAGGAATTTTGCCTAGCTGCTTAAGCTTTAATTTAAAATTTCAAACGTTTTAAAAAATTTTTTATAGTATAGAAGATATAGGACAAAAACAATTTCTATGTCAAGATTTTAAAGGCTCTATTTTAACTGCAATCATTTTTTGATGACAAGAGTCACTCGAAAAACCACAGTTGACATTTTTAAGAACCGTTATCTTGATAAAAAATCCGAATTTTAATGTTTTATTGAAATGCAAAAAATAAAAATAAAATTGAAACGAAATTTTATACAAAATTTTAATTTGAAAAACAAGAATTGATTTTAAATTTTTGAAAAGAAAAACTAGAATTTTGTATTACGAATAAAAATCTAGTAATCAAAATTTTTATTTCGAAACTTTTCTTGGTAAAGAAAATTGATAGGTTTTTTATTTTTGCCAATTTTTGTAAGAAATGGTACCTATATGGTTTGAAATTTTTAAATGCATTTTTCTGAGATTGGGTGCAATTTAAAAATTTGGAAAAAATATTTTCGGAATCTAGACAGCATTTGGCATCTAAAGTCATTAAAATTATCCAGCTAGAGCGAATTTTTAAAGACATGCCATGTAAATTTTGACATTTATATTAATAGAAAGAAAAATTTTTTTAATAGGAAAATTTAATTTTTTTTACAAAAAATGGAGTTTGTAAATGATATGATATTAATATTGTGAAGTTAATAAATAATTAATAAATAATTTAAGGGAATTAATAAACTTTCAACAAATTGTTCAAGAACTAAAATTGGTATACGTTGATGCAACTAAAGAGGAATTCCGGTAAAGCAATTAATTTGAAATATGCGATTGAATAGAAATAGATTTGAAAGAAGAAAAACATAAATTGTTGCCGAATTAGGTGAATTTCCTAGGAGAATTTCGTGTTTGTTTTGAAAATCTTGTAAAATTTTTGGATAAAGGAATATTAAATTGAATTTAATTTTAGTTTTATCAATATCTGGTTTGATTTTAATTGAATTTGTGGCTCACAATATTTTTGGTTTTTATGCTATATCTTATGTACCATAAAAAATTTTTAATGTTTGAGGACTTAAATTAAAGTTTAAACTGATGAGAAAAATTCTATAAAAAAAATTCCAAGGTTTAAAAAAATTTCTTACGAAATTATCTATTTACAGTAAATGAAAAAGGGAAAATGAGGGAAAAATTTGATTTTCTCTAAAATTCGATTGGTTGGAAAGTACAGAATCAATCACCATGTTTATTTTAAGCCCTTTACCTTTTATGCCTTTTATAAACTGCTTGTTTGAAGTTCGTATCTTTTTCAGCACCGAAGTTATAATCAAAAAAACTTGGATAAGTAAAAATTTCGTGAAAATCCCTGTTTTTCGAAAACCCTTGAGATTTTGCACCTAGCCCGCAGGAAAAATTTTACCCATTTTCGACACTCCAACCAATTCTATATGTTGTTGTATACATTTCTGAATCACCCTGTATAAATATCTATTTAAATAACCTACTTAGTAAGTTAGAAAGTTATATTCTAATTTTTAATCTTTCTTAAAAATGTTCATACGCAGTTATTGAAATTTTATGGAAATACTAGAAATAGATGATTGTTCTTAAAAGAAAACGTGCTAGTTTACAAAACAATAGATTGAACCAAATTTATTAATATATTAATTATCTATATTCTTTTTTGAAGTTTGAAATTTTGATAAAATTATGAGTAAGTATGTAAGTAACATACATCAATCAGAAAATACATTTTTATGTATAATCTGAAAGAGAATATTAATACGTGGTATAAAATTAATTTAGCTAAAATATAAAGTTATTAAAATTTTAGCAAAAGTAGTGTACCTATTAAGGTAGTAAAAGCAATTTTTAATGCAGATTAAAAGAGAAAATTGAAAAAAAAAATTTTAAGAGAAAATTGTAAAAGTTTTATTATATTTTTCCATTTTAGATGAATGCTAAGAAATAATTTTAATTCCATTAGCGCAATAGCATCACGATATTAAAATAATTTTTTTCCCATATCCAGTATTACAATCGTATAACCCTCGGCGTATGAAAAAATATGAACATTTTTTTTTCGATAATAACGTTTCAAAAGATTTTCAACGTAGGTATTGAATTTTTATAATTTTTTAATTTTAAATTTTTTAATAATTTAAAATATTTATTGGTTATGAAATTTAATGAAATATTAGATATTTTTAAATCTAAAAATAAAGTTAATGACCATAGTTGGGAATGAATATTTTCGAATTTTTATAAGTTTTGAATTTTTTAAATTTTTTATAGATGCCCTTAAGCTCTAAAAATTTTTTTAATTTAAACAATTTATTTATTCAATATAACACTAATAATTTTTATTTGAAAAATATTATAGTTTACGAAGTGAAAGTTACACAATCAAATTTCTATATTTAATAAAAAAGAAAAAAAAATAAAAAAAAACACCAAAATAAAATCGAATTTAATTTGGAATTTTTTTCTTTTTTGTGTTTACCAAACTGACCCAATTTTTATGATTGTGATACGATAACTTTTAAAAAACTGGTGGTCCAATTGTATTTTACCAATTATTTACACATGCAAAAAAAAAATTATTTTTTTTTTTGTAAAAATTGAAAATATCATGTTTAATTGTGAAAAAGCCAATTCCCGGTGGGTCGATATCCTGTAGCGAAATTTTAAATTAAATTGTTTGCATGTTTTAAAATACAAAAATTCATTTTTTTTAATTGTACATATATAGTTGTTGAATTTACCAATTAAAAAAAAAAGAAATAAAGGGAAAGGAACAAAAATAATTCAAAGTATTTTTTTTTTCTTTGTTTTAAAACTATAAATGGAAAAATGTAAAAAACGAAAAAGAAAATCCGAAATTAATTTTTTTTGTTATCCTTTACGGTGTTTGCTCTAAAAATAAAAAAAAAAGAAATTTTTATAATACAAATTTTCATAAATGATGTTAAAATTTACTTTTTTGAATGAGATTTTCCTGTATATGTCAAAATATTCAGAATATTAAAATATGAAAGATAATTAACTCTTATGATGGTTATTTACCATTGCGGTTGTTTAATACTGAAAGGAATTATGTATTCTGCAGGGAAACGTTCCAATTATTATCAACATTGCTGACGTGAAAATTTACTATAAAAATTTTGTATTTTCTTTAATATTTTTTTTTCTTTGTTAAATTAATTTACATTTTTGTTTTAATTATTATTCAAAAATGGTTTTTTTCTCTTTTTTTTTTTTTACAAATTATTAAATACGAACTTGACCTGAATTTGAACTGCAGAGTTATTTTTGCAATTATTTTCCTCCAATGATATTTGCTTTCATTTTTTATTTATTACGAAAATTGTAAAATTTGAG